CAGTTTCCGTTGCCATGAACTAACTAATCAATTTGTAGGCAATTATCGGACGTCAGGAGAGTAGCTAGTTGGTAGTTTTGAATTAATGTCATGTACTTTTTCCAATATGTATATGTTACGTAATTAGTAGAATACAAATTAGCTTCATTATTATTTATTATGTATTATTTAAACATGTACAATAAATTATTAACATGGTGTTGGAAACAAAAATTGTATATGAATAAAACTTATTTATAATTGAATAAACTAGTTATATAATAATAATAGTAATAATAAGTGACGATATGATTTCGATGTGGCGTGATGTGATAGACCATAAGATGTGGCGTGATAAGTTTGAGTCACAATCAGTAGTGTGATCAACAAAGTGACGTAATGAAATTTCCCAATAGGTTGCAAGATAGAAGGTAAGTTTTCTAAGTTTATTGCGAACGGCAATTAATCACACAATTGCTGTGTATTTTGGAACTTTGACTCTTTCGAAAAATTATCACCGGTTTAGTTTGATAATTATTAGTAAAAATGGTTAACGTTTCAAAAATCAAAAATACTTTTTGTAAAGGCAGAAAGTGCCGAAAGCACAAACTATAGTTGAAAGCACACGCCACATAAAGTATCGCAGTATAAAAAAGGGCAAAGATTAACCCTATGCTGGGCGATAAAATCTGGATATGATATGGTGGCTAGACCAAAGTCAGGTTTCCGCAAGAAAGCCAAATCACCAACCTTCGTTTGGAGTGTCAAAATGCAAGTGCAAACATCAAGTAACGCTTAAATGATGTAGACGTTGCTTACCCTTATGTATTATTTCAATATTTAGTAATGTTGTATGTCAGTTTGGAATTTATGTCAGTTTGGAATTATGTCAGTTTGGAATTTATGTCAGTTTGGAATTTATGTCAGTTCCGAATTGACATATGTCAGATTGAAATATATACATATAGAAAAACACGACATGAACTATAAAGACTATAATGATGATACATATATTAATATTGTTGATCATGCGTAACATAGTAATAGGCTATTCATTCAGAGCTTACAACATTTGAACCTTCCGCTATTATTTTTTGTTAATACAATCGTGATCGTTTGACATTGTGAAAGAATGCTTTGAATTGCTGAATACGTTAGTGATAGTTCTCTGTTTGTGCGAAAATGCAAACACAATTTGTAAGTGAACAATGAATATGCTTGAGTTACTAAAAACGTTAGTGATGATGATTCTTCTACTAGTGAGAGAAAATGTAAAATGGAATGTCATTGTGAAAGAATGCTTTGAGTTACAGAATACGTTAGTTATTGTCTTTCTATTGGTAGATTAAGCAAATAAAATGGTGAGTAAACATCGCCTGATCTGAAAAAATGCTTTGAGTTGCTGAAATCGTTAGCGAATAGTCGTTTTACTGGTGCGCGGATGCAAATACAACATATTACGCTCGAGTACTAAAAACGTTAGTAATGATTATTGCATGGTTCGACATATCATTGTGAAAGAAATGCTTTGAGTTACTGAATACGTTAGCGAATAGTCATTCTATTGGTGCGAGATACAAATATACAATGTAAGCAAACACCGATTGACATATCATTGTGAATATGCTTGAGTTACTAAAAACGTTAGTTCTTCTACTGGTGAGAAAATGAAAGATGAGCATTAAAATGGCATGGCTCGACATATCATTGTGAAAGAATGCTTTGAGTTACAGAATACGTTAGTGATTGTCTTTCTATTTGCAGATTAAGCAAATAAAATGGTGAGTAAACATCGCCTGATCTGAAAAAATGCTTTGAGTTACTGAAAACGTTAGCGAATAGTCGTTCTATTGGTGGGGGGATATAATTGTAAAAATGGCATACTCGACATACCATTGCTTTGAGTTGCAGAATACGTTAGTGATGCAGATTGCAATACAATCCGTAAGTAAACACAGATCGACATATTGTATGTTGGCTGAAATTCTCCACTCATTTTATGACCTAACCAAGCTTAAGTTGGTGCGACACACATCTACCAGCCAAATTTGGGGCCTAAAATACGGAAGATCGTGTGAAATTAACAGATATGCAAATAATATTATCGTAAGGTAAGGTGTATAAAACCATATAATAGAAAGACATAATACAAGTAGTAATACCACAAGCTTACTTGCGCTTTTTTTAATGCTAAAACTTACAAACGTTAAAATAGCCTATATTTATAACAATTGTTTATACGCATGATACGTTTGTGCATCACTGTTGTTGGCACCGCCACTTAGTAATTTGCTAACGAAAGGATGTAAACCGTTTTTAAGTGACATTAACAAACGTGTTGACGTCTTGATACTGACATAAAGCTTCTCAATTTGTATACATTAAAGTAAATATCAATCATTCTGTTATATTGTAGATCAACAAGTTAAAACCAAGTGCTTGCATATTAATATGTTCTGTCGATCAGGAGAGTAACCAAAATAAGGCGTTAAGCTATATAGCTAATTACAATGTCACAACTAACCAAGGGCTCGGTTTATTGACTGTTAAGCACATAAACATATTCACGAACTTGTTATGCCTTGATGTTAAAGATATGCACTTTTGGTCCTAAAACGGGCAAAGCAGATTCAGTACGTTCAAAGTTATAAAAGCCCTTTGACACTTTTTCCCTAATCCATTCAATTTCGAATTGATTTTTCTGATATACACTCGATTACATATCAATAAACATGAACACAACAAGCATTATTTCCTCTGCCGCTTTTGATCTTATTGTCGAACGCTTCGTGTCTAGCCATGGCGAAAAAAGAAGGCCAAAGATTCTTATTACGCAAGAAATGTACGACGAAGCGATCGCAATTTTGAAGAATCCTGAAGATAAAACAATATCTACACCAAAACATCGCTACTGGGTAAGCTTAGTATTTTTGTGAAAATATGATAAGATAATGAATATTAATTCCTGAATAATTATATTAGGTACGTCAAAATTTTCAAATTCGAGAAGACGCCCTAAGCAAAGACCAATTTGTGCTACTGAAAAAGTCTACAAAGTGCAAACCAGCTTTGCCAGTATGCACAAAGGAAAAACTATACGACACACTTTATGAAACCTATATGGCCTTAAGAAATCCTGGCATGACGGCATTTTGGAGTGAAATATCATCGCAGTATTCTTACGTACCCCAACACTTAACTGAGTGTTTTATTAAATGCTGTAAAGTAAATGCAGAGAATAAAAGTTCGAAAACATCCGTATCCGCTAAACCTATCATTGCAACAAAGTTTATGACTCGGGTCGAGGTGGATCTCATAAATATGGGTGACTTGAGTAATGGCACTTACAAATACATATGTCATGCACGCGATCATTTCACTAAATGGTCATGGGCAGCTCCACTAAAATCAAAAGAAGCGAACGAAGTAGCAAAAGTACTCAAAAAAACTTTCTTAACGTTTGGTCCGCCGACGGTATTCCATACTGACAACGGTACTGAGTTTACTGCTCGAATCATCCGCGATCTTATGAGTAACTGGCCAACGACAAAAATTATCCGAGGACGTCCCAGACATCCACAATCGCAAGGACTAATCGAAAGAGGCAATAGTATTCTAAAAAATAAGCTTTCGAAATGGATGCAGATAAATCGATCAACTGCATGGTCTGAAGGACTGGATGAAGTTATATATGCAATGAACACAAGTTACTGTCGTGTAACAAAACATACTCCGTATGAGCTAGTCTTTGGACAGAAGCCCAGATCCAATCTAAATTTGCTCAGAGATATACCTGCAGATGCAATAGTTGATGAAGATAGGATAAACATCGACTTTGAAGAACCAGTATATCCTACTAATTATCATCTAGAAACGGAGGATGAGAATGATAATATTACCAGAGAAGATGATATAATGGAGATCGAGGTGAATATAGCTCTCTTTAATACTGTGATTTTTAATATAATATTTATAACATCTATAACGTTTATATAACTTTAAACTGTATAGCCGCAGTCTTCACATCAAGTAGAAGCGGAAGAAGTTTCCGAGAAACATACGTCTGGTGCGGAAGAGGAAACATCATCAGAAGAATATTTTCGCCGTAGATTGGGTGAAAAGGTATTTCAATTTGAACAATAATATATATAGGCGCAGCTACAACGTCAATTCAAGCCGCAAGTCATCAAGGAGAAATTTGACATTAATACGTTCTTTGGTCGAGCTTCCCGCATGGATGCCGAGCTTTGGCCGGAAGTTCAAGATCAAAGTCACGGCATTGCTTGAAGAAAAAGAATATATTAATAAATTCCCACTTAAATACGTCATCAAAACGGTCAAAGACTCAATAGGAGACCTCAAAAAATTTCAAAATGACGAACGATTTCCTCAGGAAGTTATTTCCACATGGCTGAAGACATTTGAGAGCTGGTTGCAGGAAATTATACAGAGAAAGAGCGAAGAAGACGTAGGTATTATTATTTTGTATTTTAATACTTTTAGCTTTAATAACAATTTTGTATGCAGGCGAAGAAACAGAATAAAGAGATTAATAAGAATAGTCGTCGAAACATGCAAGTAAAAAAGAGAACAAACAAAGGCAAGAATGATGATGAAATATTACAACGTAAGAGGGGAAGGAAGGATGACAAAAGTCAGGTAAGCGATTGACAGTTTTCTCTATGAATTAATAAATACGCATCTAAAGTTATTGAATCTAATTAACTTTTAGCATTTGACAACCAAACGTTTACGATCTGGAAAGGTATGCAGACCTTGTATTTATATATTCTATATTTCTACTTATTAACAAATTTGCTTAATAATAGACTTTTGGCAATCCCACCAACGACACAACTGAAAATTGGGAGACGATAAATTCTCAATGGGATCTTGGTTTGGTAGGAGAATAACCATGTCCGGGAAAATACCTGCAGATCAAGTATATGACTTACAGCGAGCCTAATTAAGTTACAAAGTCTTCGTAAAAATACTACCATTCCGCAGGATCTTTTAGATCTGTGGGAAAGCAAATTTAACAATTGGATGTCTGAGTTTTCGGATGTGACAGAAGAGGTATTATAAATTTAGTAATGAGTTACTACCAATATAGACATTCATAACATAAATAAATCTCATACTGTATTTTAATAGCATAGCGTCGCATATGTAAAACCTAGTACAAAACACCAGGAGTATCGGACTATTGCACAAGCTCATACTACACTCTACACAGACCAGATGCGGGAGACTATGCAAAAATTTCATAAGCATCCCAAAAATATCAGCAAAGGTGACCTGGTCTTTCTTGATATACCACGTGCTGATAGGCATAAGTTTGACCGTACTAAATTACCTTGCAAAGTTATTCGCGTGTTTGAAAATGGTTTGTGTCAGTTGGGATGCTCTTCAGGTATACTAAACATCAAGTATTCGGCAGCAAACCTTGGGAAAATTGAATCTGATATTCATTATGTAGAGCTTAATACTATACCTAAGAGGTCAGTAACTGTTCACCAAGCGGTCTCAAAACAAAGTTTGATCAGTTTAGCAAGAATTAGTTGCGATTGTAAGACAGCTTGCCGTACAGCTCGATGTGCATGTCATAAAGCCATGCTTAAATGTAATCTAAACTGCCATTCGCATAACGCACAATGCAGCAATACTAATTGAACTGTAGTACATAACGAATAAATAGTATTAGTTTGATTTTTTCCGATATAATAATTTTAGTTTCATTACTGCGTTAACTGAAATGGTTGCTACTAGTAATTATACAAACAGACATTATCGAAATTAGAGAGTCAATATTCAAGTCTCATTTAGAAGTTTGAACAAGCGACTCTTATAATACTCGTTGTAATAATGCAATATGTTAGTTTATAACATTAGTATACTAGTTGATATTGTTTAATAAGATCTTTTATCTAATTACATATTATTCTATGTCACAACCGCATCGCCTGATTTACGTACATTTTTTGTAACCATATGCGAAAGCTCGCACAAAGAATTAACTAAGTAAGGTGACAATAATTGTTTGTTATCCTGTTTATATTACGATTTATATTCTTATCAGCATACGGTTAGTAGCAAAAAATTTGATATCATGAAAGTTAAAGATGTTGCTATAATCTGTTCGGCATAATATTACTAGCACATCACGCAAGCAATAACAGTTGGCGAATAATATATAGCTCAGATACGCATGACTTTGCTATATGCCATACAACAGAGAGATAACAGTTCAGCGATGTAGCTGACAGAAATAAGTAAAAGTAATCCAAATACTTCCATTCTCTATTCTTATTATCGGGAAAAACATTAGCCTTGTTAGATTGTGCTCAAAAATGGTAAAGTACGACCTTACCTATACGGAGTTAAAGCATCTCTAATCAACAATATGAAAATTGTATGCAATCAAATCATGCCACTGTAGATCATTGTTTGTGCTGGCCACCGCCACTTAGTAAATTGCCAACGAAAAGATGTAAACCGTTTAACAAACGTGTTGACGTCTTTGATACTGACACAACACTTCTCATTTGTATACATTAGAGCAAATATCAATCATTCTGTTATACTGTAATTGTAGATCAGCAAGTCACTGAATAGCAGCTAATTATAATGTTACAATGTACAACATTGAAGTAATGAAGGTCTCAGTTTATTGATTACTTTTAAGTCAACATAATAATAAACACACTTATGAACTCGTTGTGCTTAATTATTAAAAATTTCGTCCTAAAACGAGCAAGTATATTCAGTACATTTATAATACAGTCGGGGATTATACCAAATTTGGAAATCGATTCTAGAATAATCGGCATACAAAATTTTGGAATCTGATTGGTTGTTGGCTTTTTTTTTTGTCTTTTTACATATGCATTCGCTGTGAATTTTGTTGGTATTTGGCAGTCACTAAAAACTGTAGTAAT